CACCGCAACGGTTGCAAAAGTGTGAAAAATGAGCGTAAGTCACTTTTCCCAGTGCTATTGTAAGTTTGAATGGTCACTACATGAATGGCTTAATTATTCAGGTTCTTGTTCCTGCCATCGCTGCTTATAACAGTTCATTCTGGCAGTGCAGTGATGGCAAACCTTCTAGGCTTGGCATGTCAAAAATGCAGAAAATGCCTACCTTGACTTTACTGATGTGTCATACATATACACACACATCCTCTGGACAAAAGAAACCTCTCTGGACCTCTTCTCTAGACCTATGGAAGTCTCACGGGTCCTCTGTAAATCACATGAGAATGTTCCAGGGGTATTATTCAGCAGGTTCTCACAGGTTCTGGAGAACCAGTAGCAGAAATTTTGAGTAGTTTGGAGAACCAGCAAATACCACCTCTGGCTGGCCCCAGAGTGGGGATTTTGCAGTATCCTTCCCATGCCACGCCCAACAAGTCACACCACGCCCAACAAGCCACGCCCTCAGAACCAGTAGTAAAAAAAATTGAATTCCACCACTGGAATGTTTGCACAATTTCCAGGCACCTGAGACGCCCCCACAAGACTTCCAGAAGTCCAGAGATGCGTCTCCAGACCACTGAAAGTCACATTTATTTGTTCAACTTGTATTTATTTATTTATTTATTTGTTCAACTTGTATGCCGCCTTTCTCCTAAGACTCAAGGCGGCTTACAATGCATTTAAAAACCATATATAAAAACATTAAAAATTAAAACATTAAAAACAATTAAAACCCATTCACACCATTCATGGCCGGATCTCGCCAGATCGCAACAGCGAGATCAACGGCCCCAGGCCTGCCAGAAAAGCCAGGTCTTCACCGCTTTTCGGAAGGCCAATAGGGTGGGGATGGTCCGGATCTCAGGAGGTAACTGGTTCCCGAGAGCTGGGGCAGCCACAGAGAAGGCCCTCCCCCGTGGGCCTGCCAGCCGGCATTGTTTAGCTGACGGGACCCGGAGGAGGCCAACTCTGTAGGATCTTACCGGTCGTTGGGAGTTATGCGGTAGAAGGTGATCTCGAAAATAGTCTGGCCCTGAGCCATGTAGGGCTTTAAAGGTAATAACCAACACCTTGAATTGTGCCCGGAGACCAATAGGGAGCCAGTGCAGTTCGCGGAGAATTGGTGTAATGTGGGTGTACCTAGGTGCACCCACGACAGCTTGCGTGGCTGCCTTCTGGACCAACTATAGTCTCCGAACACTTTTCAAGGGTAGCCCCATGTAGAGCGCGATGCAATAATCTAACACATGAGAGAGCTCTGCTCTCGTGGGACCTCTAGAGCTTCCAGAAATTGAGCAAGAGCTCTCACGATTTTTGGAGGCTCTGGAGACCTCCATGCGTCAGTGTCACCTATGACACATATATCATAGGTTCGCATAGGTAACCAGCCTCTGGCTCCAAAGTCTCTGAAGCGGGGCCTGGATCCCTTTTTTGTGACCATCAGAAACTTCTGACTCAAAGCATTTAAAAAAAGGGGAAAGCAAGAGCTTCCAATTATGGAAGTGGGAGACAGACAAAACGTATACCATTATCCATACGCATACCATAGCTATACAAACCCTGATCACCCAACACCTCTTTTGCTTCCAGTTAAAGCTTCCAATGTCCACTTTGACCATCTTACAGAAGTGTCAAATCAACCACAGCTTCCATTTGTAGCCCTCTTCTCCCTCTCCCCTTTCCATCTTCAAAGTTGTGTTTAGAAAACAACATCCATTATGGTCGATGGATGCAATAGTTTCATAGTACTTTTTTTAAAAAAACAGCAATGCTGTGAACAGCTCATCTAAAAGCATCCAGAGGGAGAAAGCTTTCAGGCCAGAAGCACCTTTGAAGGATGTGATGGGTGTCAAGCACCACAGAAATTAGGAAATCCAGGCGGTTCAAATGGGGATAAAGTTTTGTTGTAAGCTTAAGCTCTCTGTAAGAATCTGAACTACTAACAGTCAAAGCACTTTGGTGGTAGATAAGCAATTCACGGTGGGCTGGACTTAGATCTCTTGTGGTTGAGAAGGGACTCATGACTATGACATGTTTGACCCTTCCGTTGGGATCTGCCTGGTCACTGTAGGTCATCGCCTACAGTGGGGTACTCACAAAGTGGTTGACTCACAAGACTCACAAGAAGATTGCCAGGGAGGCACGGCCAGTAATGAGACAACCAGAAGGCAAAACAGCCTCCTAGATATTGTCACCATTTCAATGGGGCCCTTACTGATCCTGAAGATACCCCTGCACAAAACTACAATGCCAGTGGCTGATACTTTGCTTTCAAATATGCTTCATTAAAAATCAAAGGGAGCATTTGGGCACCCAGATTCCTGCAGGTGCTGCCTTACCTACCTCTACTTTAGGGAAGCTTGTAGCATTAGATCACAGCCATCACACTAGCTAAATGATATAGTAAGCAGTCACTAAGTCGTATCCGACTCTTCGTGACTCCATGGACCATAGCATCCCCACCCCACCCCCCGGTCTTCTACTCTCTCCCTGAATCTGTGGGAGGCTAAAACATATAAATGGAGGCTAAAACGTATAAAGAATGGTTGCTGGAATTGGATATGTCTAGTTTAATGAAAAGAAAGATTAGGGGTGACATGATAGCAATGTTCTAATATCTCAGGGGCTGCCACAAAGAAGAGGGAGTCAAGTTATTATCCAAAGCACCTGAGGGCAGGACAAGAAACAATGGATGGAAACTAATCAAGGACAGAAGCAACTTAGAACTAAGGAGAAATTTCCTGGCAGTTCGAACAATGAATTAGTGGAACAACTTGCCTCCAGAAGTTGTGAATGCTCCAACACTGGAAGTTTTTAAGAAGAGATTGGATAACCATTTGTCTGAAGTGCCTAAGCAGGGGGTTGGACTAGAAGACCTCCACAGTCCCTTCCACCTGTGTTATTCTATTCTATTGTAATCTGCCCAAACGTATGCCCACTCTGTTGACACTATCTAATCATTTCATCCTCTGCAGTCCTTTTCTCCTTTTGCTGTCCATCTTTCCCAACACCATCAGGGTCTTTTCTAGTGAGTTCCCTCTTCTCATTTGGTGGCCAAGTATCTGAGCTTCAGCTACAGTATCTGTCCTTTGGAAGGGGCTGGTTTCCTTTAGAACTGACATAGTGAGAAACACTGGTTTTAATTATAGCTCAGCAAATGTGTGGATTGTGTATTTCCCCTCCTTTTCTTTCTAACATGAATTCCTTCAGTGCTTAATAGTTTTATTATTTTCAGTGCTAATTAATTCTGGCTTGCTATGGTAACTGTGTATTGTGCATTTCCTTCCAGAACTTGAGTTATATGCTCCAAGACCCCCAGTCTTACCATTACTTACTGCAATTACCCATCAGACAACCTCAAGTTCATAGTGGGTAAGACACTGAGTTTGTCGATCAGAAAGGTTGGCAGGTCGGCGGTTCGAATCCCTAGTACAAGTCTCCTGCGTGACCTCCAAGGTCCCTTCCAACTCTGTTACTGTTAAATAGGTACAAGATCACACAAAGATTGTCAAAGCTGAGCCGATGTTTGAACTGGGGTTCCCTCACCAGACTAGCTCCCTGCTATGCCACACTGGGTTTTTGCTCATGGTTGCCATGACACTAAGCCACAAAGTGGTTGATTTCATCTTTTGGTTTGGTGTGATAATCTACCCCCATTATGGCTTTGTATTATCTCTAATCAGACCACTACGGCTTCTTTAGCAAACTGTAGCAAAAAAAAATAGAAGCAGTAAGGATTTAGATGCATTAGTATTAGATATATCCCTTTCAAATTATAATTAGGAAAGTGTAAAGCATGGCTGAAGCTATTAGTCATAACTGATTAAATTCTGACTTAATAAGCAAAGATATGTGTGCTCTTTAAATGCTAATACATAGCTTCTATGCTTCACGGTTCTCATGAGAAAGTAACAAATCCAGGAGGATGTAGTAATAATATCCAAAGCTATAATGTCCAAAGCTATGATGTATAGCTTCCAAACAAGCTACTCTTTTTCAGAAATCATTAACCATGGTTCCTTGTTCTTATACAACCGGAATCTATATTTAGTTGCAATTTCTTGGCTTCTCCAATTTATATAAAAGGAGAAGTAATTGCAGGCTCATGCATATTTGACCTTACCAAGTGGGACTGGGGAAAAGTGCTAGAGAATTCTTGGAAGCCTGGCACTTAGACAAATTGGCCATCAACGGATACATAGAGATGAACAACATCTACATACTATTCAAAAGAGGCAATCAGAAAGCTAAAAAACCACAATACCTCCTGGCCAGCAATCAACACCCAGATAAGCAGAGATTAACACCAAGATTAATACAAGACCAACAGTGAACAATCAAGGAAGTGCCAACAAGCTAACAGTAAATAACAGGTTAATCAACCACCAAGACCAGCCCCATCAACACTGACAGGGGAAGCCACTACTATATACAATGAGAGCAAATCCCTCTTCCTCCTAGCACTGATGATGTTACCTAGTTTGGTAATGAAATGTCTGCAAGAAAATAACTCCTCAGAACTGTGATCGTCAAAACCAGATCAATAGAGAAACACACATACACCCTAACCTTTATTAAGACTCCTGAGAGAAAGCTGTGAGGGATGAATGATATTCTCAGAAGAAGTGGTGCAAGGAAATGGTGCAAGCAAGCAAGTAGAAAACCCTTTGCCTTGTAAAAGAAAAAGAAAAAATAGCGGAAACACATAATGTATAGTTATGCCAGTATTTTTCGTTCAACTTCGTAATAGCTTCTTGATTCCTCCTGGTGTTGTTAACTTTTTGGCAGGAGTTTTGGTGTTCTCCCCCTCATCTGTGGAAACAGCTATACTGACATGTTTAAATATGTCTTAATTTGAGGGGCTTCCGGCATTGTCCACTGATAAACTTCCTCTTTATGTCAGACGAAGATCCTTTTGCAATATGCAAACCACCATACCATGTAAAGTGTTTTTGCTGTATTCTCACTTCCCTGATCGTGTAACACTAAAAGTTATGCTATAAACAAGAGATTGAGTAGTGCAGGAGAAATCTCAAAGGTAAGACAGACTTAAATTATACTTTTTGTTTTAAAAAAAATCTTCAAAACAAACAAGAAATGGCAACAAACTAATATGAAAAAAAATAGGAACAGGTTGGGTCTCAAACAATCTTCACTTTTACTCCTCCGAATTGCAATTTAATTGCCATGTGCTTCCTGCCATATGTAAAATATATTAAAATAAGTTACTTTCTCAAAATTTCATACTGAAGTCTCTTTTGTGACTGGGACTTTCACTTGGTTAAATTCTAATACTAGGTTCCAAATTAGAGAATTAGGTCTGGGATTAGATCTGTTTGTACGTAACGTTCAGTGGAAATAGGAGCACAAAACTGGATAGTAAGAAACTCATAATTTTTGGAAGTCAGCCATTTCCCTTCAAATTTCACCTTGATCTGCAGAGCAGATTACAAATGCAATTTTTTTTTTTAATGAGACTAAGCAGAAATTCAATACGCTTCTATATGCAGCGTTCCTTTAACTGCAAGCCGCACCATTTATAGAATTGAATTTTATACATGTGTATTTAAAAGGGTTTCCCGAGTTCAGTTTTGGAAATGCCAGGATTAGTTGTTTTGATAGGCAGACAAACTGTGTCTTGTGTAGATGGCTCACTAATCAAGCTCTGATGTGAGGCACTAATGGTTTCATAACTTTGCACCTGTTTGCTGTAAATGGCAAACTACCCCCAATGCAAGAAAAAATTACTCTCAGTAAAAGGACGTTGGTCTTACCTGACACATCTCTTCTCAGTGCGCTGCGGGAGAAGGTCCTGCTCTATTCTTATACTTATTTTGCATCTTATGCGGGGTGGTGGGGGGAGAGAGCCAAATTTCATGCCTATGATAGGACTAGAACTCAGAATCTCCTGGTTTCTAAACCAGCACCCTCACCACTAGATCAAATTGCCTCTCAAAAGATCAATGTCCTTTTGTTCTTTTACTGAACAAGTGCAAGATGGAGGCCTATGTCTGTTTATTTGTAGAATAAGAAAGTTGGAAGGGATCTTGGAGGTCTTCTAGTCCAACCCCCTGCTACAGCAAGAGACCCTGTAGAATTAATTCAGGTTTCTTAAAAATATGTGTAGTTTTATCTCTTCAGATTTTTTTTTTAAAAAAGCAATTATCATATCAGTGTAAATTTGCCTTTTACTAATAGCTGTACTTTTGGATCCATTAAAACTATTAAATGTATGGAGTATGTGCCTGGGTATGTTGCCCGTACATACATGTTCCCACCCCTACAAATGTACATTTGTTTCTGCAAAGCTTTCATTTTTATTGCATTATATACATTTTATTGCATTATATACATTTAGGGACATGGTCTCCTTAACTTAAGAGCCTTGGTGGCGCAGCGGACTAAAGTGCTGTTAAAGTAGCACTTAGCTGCCAGCTGCCTGCAATTACTGTGAGTTCAAATCTCACCAGGCTCAAGGTTCACTCAAGCCTTCCATCCTTTCGAGGTAGGTAAAATGAGGACCCGAATTGTGGGGGCAATAAGGTGACTTTGTATATATATATAAAAAAGAACACCGCTTGGGGGGGGGGCCAAAAGCCCTATTAAGCAGGTATATACAAAAGTATGAAGGCTATTACTTAACCCATTGTAAGCCGCCCTGAGTCTCCGGAGAAGGGCGGCATATAAATCGAACCAATCAATCAATTAATCAATCAACAAACAAACAAACAAACTTATATTTATACTGTACATTTTGTTTTATTGTTTTGTTGCCCAGAATGAAGGGTGGGCTAAAAAAAGGTGTTCATAAATAAATGTGTTATACACTGAAATACATTGTTAAAACAGCTTTAAAAACAGCAAATAAATTGAAGCTAAACTTTGTTTCCTCAGAAATTTATAAAATTCTGGCTATTCTATCGTGTACAGTGGTACCTCGGTACTCAACTGGTTTGAAACTCATCGAATTTGGTACTGAACACATTTTGATGTGAAAATTTTGTCCTGATACTTATCATTTGTTTGGTACTCAATGCACAAGCTGGAACTTGTCAATGTTGGTTGCCTTGTGACTCGCTACCCTTTCTGGGCGAAACAAATAATGACGCGTTAATCACGCAGTAGCTCTTGCCCTGTGCCCATTCCCTATTTTTGCTTTGTGCTCATTTTATGTATTTTTATGCTTTTTTTTTTTTATCAGTACAGGTAAAGTGAAGTTTTTATTTTATTTAATCCAAGTATTTATTAATCTTTAGGTTTATTTCACATGTAAAGTAATAGCAATAGCACTTAGACTTATATACTGCTTCATAGTGCTTTTACAGCCCTCTCCAAGCAGTTTACAGAGTCAGCATATGACCCCCAACAATCTGGGTCCTCGTTTTCTTGACCTCGGAAGGATGGAAGGCTGAGTCAACCTTGAGCCTGGTGAGATTTGAACTGCCAAATTTCAGGCAGCCGGCAATAAGCAGAAGTAGCCTGCAGTACTGCACTCTAACCACTGCGCCACCAAGGTTAATGATATACAACCCTATCTTTTTATGCATTGCCTTAAAAAATGTGCATTGTCTTTGGTTTGGGAACGCATTAAATTTATTTACATTATTTCTTATGGGAAGAATGTATTTGGTACTCATTGTTTTTGGTACTCATTGCGCCTCCTGGAACCAATTATTGACAAATACCAAGATACCACTGTATCACCCAGCCACGCTGATTGGTTTATAAATGTTTGTTGTTGTTAGGCCTTCAACGGGCAAAATGTGGTGCTGATATTAATCTCTACCTTTTATCTTCTTCATGCCACGGAAGAGATCCCCAGAATTTTGACAATGGCGACCAAGGCCATCGTTCTAATTTTCATCTATGGACAACTGTGGTGGAGCCACACTGCTGGAAAGGGGCCTACGGGCGTGTCGCTCAATGCTGAACCCCACAGCTTTCCATCTCAAGGAAGTCAATCCAAAGACCCTACCAAAAACGTACAGCAAACGCCATCCAGCAAGCCCCCGCTTCCTACCACAACAAAAGGACCTAAACTTGCAAATGAACATTTAATAGCCGCCGTGATCATTGGGGTCATCCTGTTGCTCATGATTGCGATTATCGTTGCCATCTTCCTTTGGAGGCAGCGGAAAAGGTCAAATCTGCCTCTTCCCCACTGGGCAGGACGCTCCCCGTATGCTGATGGAGACATGCCTGACCTCACTGTAGATAAGGAACCACCGCAAGGCATAAAACGGATGTCCGTTCTCTCTCTTTTGCCATGGAAACTCAGCAAGGACCCTCAACTGCTGGAAAATGCAGAAGGACAACTGTCTGAATCAAGGAAGTCCTTGGAGGTTCCACAGGGATCGGGTGAGGCAGGTACAGAGAGCGAGTCAAGCCACACTGCCACGGCAACCTTGGATTCTTCAGCCAGCAGCCAAACCCAAATTTCCGAGGAACCAAACAACTTAATGGACATCTCGCTCCAGCCTGAGAGTCCAAGGCTACAAGATCCTCCTTTGGCCAGCTGCCCCAGCAAAGTCAATGGGGATATTTTTATCCCTGAATCCCTTCCCATGGAACAAGAAGTAGAGAACCAGGGTTCCATAATGCTGGATCTGTCCCAACAAAATGTAGATGAAGCAGTGCTACTTCCTCCACCGCCAGAAGATTTTTTTGTGTAACTGATTTTTATAGATGTTGGCGCAAGTAATTGCTTCCTTCTGGGTTTTTTTTTAAACATATACTGAAAAAACTGAATAGATCCATTTACTTTCATCTTTTCATACAGGTAGTACTCGACTTATGACCATACTTGGGACCACAATTCCTCTTGCTAAACAAGGTGGTGGTTAATCATGCCCAATTTTATGAGCTTTTTTTTTTTTTGGCCACCATTATTAAGCAACTTGATCCATTTATCTAATCGTATTTATTTAACCATATATCTGAAATGGTATAGGATCGCCTGCTCAAGCAGGGGCTTGGAGTAGAAGACCTCCAACTGTATTATTCTATATTCTCTGTTCTAAAACATCACAGTTAACTGATTCACATGATCATGAAGTGAATTCAGCTTCCCCCATTGCTTTTGCTTGTCCGAAGCCATCTGGGAACATCCCAAATGGCAAGCACGTGACCCTGGGACACCACAACTATTGTACATGACATACATGCCAGTTGCCAAGTGCCAGAATTTTGATCTTGGGACTGTGGGGAATGCTGCCACCGTCATAAGTGCGAGGACGGGTTGTAAATCACTTTTTTCAATGCCATTATAAACTTCGAGCAGTCACCAAATGAACGGTGTTAAGTTGAGGAATACACGTACTTCCAAAGATGCTTTCAGGAAGACTCCATAGCCAAACATTCTCTATGGAGAGGTCTTCAAACTTGGCAGCTTTAAGACTTGTGGACTTCAACTCCCAGAATTCTCCAGCCAGCCAAGTTTGAAGACCTCTCCTCTACAGTCTGTGATATTCCAGAGTGAGCTTTGGTTGCAAAGACAGATTTCAGGAACATCTTTCCACCTCATGGATTTATTGCTCTTAAATTCTTATGTTTGGAAAAGATTCATTTAAAAAAAAAAAAGCCTTTATCACCCTGGAATCCTTCTAATCTGGTGTGAACTTTTTCTAATCAAAAAACCCTGCACTTCATGGGACTATTTAAGTGCTTTTAAATCATCACTCAGCAATGTGAAGGTTTGACATTGGTGCCCGCACTTTGGAAGTTGACCCTTCTGAAAAATTTCTCCTCTGTTGAAATTACAGCACAATTTCTGACTGAACAGTCATTTTGAATTTCATAATTCTTTTCCTTCCCTTAATTATTACCCTTAGATGTTTGCCTGCGTCCTGTGTATCTGCAAAGTTATCAAGAATTTATGCAAAGAATTTATTCTCTCCTAGTTTCCATTTTGCTTGAAAGCCTATTTATATATCTTATCTAAAAAGCTGTGCCCTTTTTTTTTTTGATCAAAAAAGCACCTGCCCACGAACTCTCTTGTTTCCAAATTTCTATACATTGGCCTATTGCGATACATGGTGTTCTAATACACACATTGTGGCAATGGTAAGAATACTTATTAGCTGCAGTTTTAGTGTCTGATGGGCTTGCAGGTTGCAGAAAACTCTGAATTTGTGCAATTGTATTTCTACTCACACATAGAGAAGCATGCCAATTGTTCTAAGTTATTAATGAGAGGGAATCAGATTACTAACTTTCAAGAGATTGTAGTTTATTTTATTACCAAAAGAGCCACTGCTTTATTCTTCACACAAGGACAATTATTCCTACATGCACTTCAAGAAAGATTTTAGCCCCAGTTGTCACAAAGCATTAGAAACTTTAAGCCAGCTTTCCTCAAGTTGGCTGGCAAATTGTAGGAGTTGCCATCCCAAAATATTTGAAGGGTATCAAATTGGGGAAGACTGGTTGCTATGAATTAAGAACCATAAAGAGATTTTCCCTTAATGTCGTTCAACAAACGCTTGCCATTATTTTGTTAAGCTAGCCAAGGAAGAATTTTGTTTGGGAGAATTTTTTACTAAAGGAATACTACAGGTGATCAGAAGCAACATTTGGGAAGTCTGGTCTTTAGATAGGCAGGAGATACAGAGACCAAATTTTTGTCTTCAGTGGGTCACAGAAAAATTTATGAATGAGACAGGAAAGAAAACAGTATTTTGTTGCTACAGACAAAGTGTAAAATAAAATTATGGAGACACAAAGTTGATGGCTGCATGTAGATAAGAGGGGAACATGATGGAAGGAAACCCAGTGAGGGAATAAAATAGCATATTTGGTTCAACACTGAGCAGAGGGTAAGATAAAACTGATACTCCCTTGCTTCTTTAATGTAGTTATCAAGAATGTTTTTGGTGACATTAGAAATACATTGGGCAGAGAAATGAAAATACAGTACAGCTAATCCTGTGCTCTTGGAACATTTGATAGTGACATTTAAAACAGCAGTAAATAGATGAATCTGTTTACTTAAGGCAGGAAAATGGATGGAGAAATATTAAGACATGCATATACTGGTAAAAAGATACAGGCAGTCCTCGACTTACAACCACAATTGAGCCCAAATTTCCTGTTGCTCAGTGCTAAGACATTTGTTAAATGAGTTTTGCCGCATTTTACAACCTTTCTTGCCACAGTTGTTAAGTGAATCACTGCAGTTCTTAAGTTAGTAACACAGTTGCTAAATGAATCTGGCTGGACTTTGCTTGCAAAAAGTTACAAAAAGTAATCACAAGACCCCTGGAACTCTGCAATCGTCATAAATATGAGTCAGTTGCCAAGCATCTGAATTTTGATCACATGACCATGGAGATGCTGTAACGTTCATAAATGTGAAAAACAGACAGAAGTAATTTTTTTCCCAGTGCCGTTACGGTCATTAGATGAACTGCTGTAAATTGAGGATTACCTGTAGCTGTAAGTGGTCAGTTGTAAGCAATGAGTAAAAAGAAATTAAAATGCCTTGTTTAAGAGCATGTTTTTGGCCATTCTGCTATAAAGTATGGGTTGGTTAGGTCAAGAAAAACAAACGTTTTTACAATGGAAATGGGATTCTTAAGTGCACATAAGAACAAGAAGTGATAGTGTTCAGAATGAATGTGGACTAACTGTGGCAGTGAGAAAGTAGCACACTGAGGTGCTTTGGAAAAAGAATAAATAAGGATTCAATCATAAAATAGAGGTATGAAGGAAGAGTAAATACGTTGAGAGGAAGGACAAAATGAGAAAATAGCAGTTGCGTGGCATTAAGAAAGTCCTCATTTTTTTTCTCATGCCTTCAATTATTATTCAATAGTATTGAAATATTTATTCCTTACTCTTTTTCTGTGTTCTGCATAACCCTGTTTATTTTGAAAGGGAATAGCTTGATGCGGTATGCATACATGCAAAAAAAGAGAGGTTTAAACAGGAAACAACAGTGTCATGACCTGGAGGACTTGCCATCATTGAAAGAAGTATAAATTAGGCATCATATCACAGAATGCTGCAGCAGAATATCAGGCCATCTATGGATCAGTCAAAATGAAGTGCCAATGGGCCATACAGAGAAAATATGTAATCCCAAACACACAAGATCTACCGTGTTTCCCCGAAAATAAGACCCTGTCTTATATTTTTTTGAACCCGGAAATAAACGCTTGGCCTTATTTTCAAGGTCTTATTATTTTGGGGTGCGTGGAGCAAGACGGGGCTTCTCTTGCTGTCTTACCCAATTTCCAGCTCTGTCTTCCTAACCCTAACCAGAGGAAATGGCAGGGACTGGCTGCACATGCAATTAAATATTTTTGGGGAGGGCTTATTTTCAGGGGAGGGCTTATTTTCGGGGAAGGGTTTATTTTCAGGGGAGGGCTTATTATCCGGGGAGGTCTTATTTTCGGGGAAACACTGTAAATTGCCCAAAATTTGTGGCAGGAACTGAATCAAAGCTGGTAAACAGAGCCGGCAAATCCTTAAACGTTACTACTGTAAGTCGAAATAACTGGCCATGGTGGAATGGGTTAAAATTCCTACAGAAGGAGGTGAAAGACTAATAATAAATTAGAAGCACTTGGCTGCAGTTATCGCAACTTCAGTAAAGGCAATATAACCAGTTACTGAATCTAAGGAAGTAATTATTGTTTCACAGTGGTATGTCCCAGGCTGGATAATTTTGTAAAGAAATGTATGAAGCAAGCACTGAATGATGGTGGTACTTGTTTACTCAGACTTCCTTTCCATATCAGCAAGACCCCTATAAAGCTCTGATAACATCTGGTGATAAAAGATTGGGGGAAAAAATGAGAGAAAATGGAAAGAGGACAGCTACTGTTTCATAAAACTATACATTAGAGTACCAATTGCTACGGGTGAAAAGAAACTCAACCTCTCATGGTATTTAACTCAGTTCAGTTTGAGGGTGAAGTTTCATTCTCCGAGCTTCTGGGCTGGTTTCCGAACATTTCATTACCAGGCTAGGTAACATCTTCAGTGGAGTTTAGGGGATGTCAGTGTTCTTCTGTTTATAAGGGCTTCAGGTGTGGGTGTGTCAAGTGAGGGTCTTGTGATGGGTCAGCTGTGGATCATCAATGAGTGTTGTGATGGGTCTTGTGATGGGGAGGTCATATCAGGTCAGGGTCATTGGGAGGTGAACTGCTGGTGGGGGGGGGTTGCGTGGGTTGGTTGGGGGTCAGTGCTGTCTCTGGTTGGCTGTGTAGTTGATTTGGATTCTGAGGGGTTCGTAGGCTGATTGTAGGTTGATGTGTCTATTGATGGAATTGCTTGTGGAGTGCCAGGTGTCAGGCCTGGAAGCCATCTTTTGCATTGGATCTTCAGGCTTGCCACATTTAGTGCTGTGGGAAACTGGGAGGGGGGATTGTATGGAGCAGGGGAGATATGTAGTCATAATAACATTCCTTTCTCTGGGAGTCAAGGACATCCTGCCCTGCACCTGGAGGGGTGTGACTGGGAGGCATCTCCAGTTGGGACGGTGCATTGATGGGACCATGTGATGGACACGTGGGTGCTGGGCAGGGACTTGGACTTTCCTTTGGGTGGGGAAAACCTGAAAGCTTTCAGATTCGGGTTTGCCCAGATGTGCCATTATGACATCTCTAATAAAATGGAACTTTGAGGAATCTCTAGCCTCCGAGTCTTCTTTCATTGGGTGTGTGTGTGTTTGTGTTACTTGAAATCCTGACACCAGGCTTCGATGAACTCACAAACATGTGGCAGGGGGCTACGTAGCATGGCCAATGATTTTTGTGTTGCTCTGTTTATTTTTCTGGGGAGTCCTGAGTAGTTGGGTAAACACTGTTTAGATCTAATGTATACTAACCCCTACATCGAATCGCTGCAGGAATTTTAGAGAAGTAAGCCTTCCTCATTTTTCAAAAGCATTTTCCTGTTTGAGATGATTCATCTCGCAAAAAGAATGGTCAGGCTTGATTGGATAATGCTTGTATAATTTTCTTGTTTTTACTTAACTAAGATTTTCCCATCTTGTATCATGGGGCTTTACTTCCTCAAAGTAACTTTATGGTAACTTCAGATGTAACAGATAGATGTGCTGCTAATAAACTACATCTGTATCATGTCTGCTGTTAATCTGCCCATTTCCAATTGTTAAGTAATGGAAATAACCAGATAGGAAAGCTATTTCCTGATAGAAAAAATTCTATCAAAAAAAATTTACTCTTTTCTCCGGGGAATTCATGTGTTTGAGTGAATATAGGAACCCAGACAACTTCTCATAAAATATTCCACACTTGCTTCAAACACGCTGAGTTGATACTGAACGTAATTCTTGAGTTAACACATTGCAGTAAATAATTCTTTAATTATTTATTGAATAAACGGCTATTGACTGGGTTCACACAGCATTCTAAGCTAAAATCAAACAGAATATATTACAGGGCACTGTAATATATGAAGAGAGAGAAAGGGAATGAATATGAGAATAAACAACATACAGGGTCCATGTGTTTCCATAACATGAAAAACGTAACATGATCTGCTTAACTATGATTTATTGAATTAACAATAAACCCCCGTTTACAAATCACTCTTCCATTAAAAAAAAATCATGCTAATCCTCAAACAAGTAAACCACCTTATGGATTATGTGTTGTGTGAACCCAGTCAAGGTCTCTATAATTTCATCCATTAAATGGGGTTAGAGCAAATAGTACTTGATCACTTGGGTCATGGAACAAGTTTATGAGGAATTACATTTAATTAAAAGCTCAATTAATTAAAATTGAAGGTTGAAATACTAATGACAGGGAAAGGGCAGAACTGAGCCAAACCACCAGCCCTACCACATGCAAGAATACACAATCATACGTTGGTCCAGATACACCTATTAGCTATACAAAAACTGTTGTTTATTGTTCTTAAAGGACTTGCAAAACAGGAAATTGGCATTTCAGATGCGGCCAATTTCTTGTCAAATATGCAAAGAGCGTGCTACTTACTTTCCTTCCACCCAACAATCACCGTAGTTGCTCATACTGTCCACCTATTCACACAGAAACTGGAGCCCTGGTGGCGCGGCAGACTAAAGCACTGTTATTAACATCAGCTGCAAGTTCAAATCTCACCAGGCTCAAGGTTGACTCAGCCTTCCATCCTTTTTAAGGTAGGTAAAATGAGGACCCAGATTGTGGGACCAATAAGCTGACTTTGTATAAATATACAAAACTATGAAGGCTATTGCTTAACGCATTGTAAGCCGCCCTGAGTCTCTGGAGAAGGGCGGCATATAAATCAAATTTAAAAAAAAAAAAAAAACTGCGAGTGCTGCACTGATCCTACAACCATAAAAAAGGTTCTTCCTGGTCTGGTTTTGCAAGTGTCATCTGTGCCATCCAACTGTCCTCTTCCCAGACACCAATAACGCAGGTGACTAGAAATAGAAACCCCGACTAGAGTACAGGTAATGGTACAATTACTACCACAATTGAGTCCAAAATTTCTGTTGCTAAGCGGGACAGTTGTTAAGTGAATTTTGCCCAATTCTATGGCCTGTCTTGCCATAGTTGTTAAGTGAATCGCTGCAGTTGTTAAATGAGTAATGCAGTTGATAAGTGAATCGGGCTTCCCCATTGACTTTGCTTGTTGCAAATGGTGATCATATGACCCTGGAACACTGTGACCGTCATAAGTATGAGCCAGTTGCCCAGCATCAGAATTTTGATCACAGAACCCTTGGCTTGGCCCTGAAATTTCGATACTAGAAGAGGACTTTCTTTATTTAAAATAGTTACTGATCATTGTAATCAAATCTACGCCTGGCAGTTCATAATCCAGTAACAACCAGATACAGGTGGTCCTCAATTTACGGCCAGAATTAGAAGTAGAATTTCAGTTGCTAGGCAAGGCAGCTATTGAGTCCTGCTCAATTGCCACAGTTGTTAAGTGAATCATGCAGACATTAAGTAAATCCGGTTTCCCCCACTGACTCTGCGTATTAGAATCTGGTCACAAATTGTGATCACATGACCTCAGGATGCCGAAACAGATGCCAGTTGCCAAGCACCCGAATTTTGATCACATGAATGTGGGGATGCTGAGATGGTCATAAGTGTAAGGGCGGTTGTCATTTTTTTAGTGCTGTTGTAACTTTGAATTGTCGCTAAGCAAACGGTTGTAAGTCGAGGACTACCTGTATACCACAAAACAGCAATGAAAACATTCATCAGTGAAGACAACCGACAAAAACCTTCTTCATAGGCGTGAGAGATCAGTGCAGCAGCACGAGTGCTGGTTTATGCATTAAAGGGCCCACCTCTGCCTTGCGCCAATGGGACTGCAGTATGAATTGCTCCACTTGTAGGCAATAGTAGTGACTGTGAGAGGGATCTTGGAGTCTTAGTGGACAACCAATTAAATACGAGCCAACAGTGTGCAGCAGCAGTCAAAAAAGCCAATGCAATCCTAAACTGCATTAACAGAGGGATTCAATCAAGACCACGTGTGGTACTAATACCATTCTATAAAGCCTTAGTAAGACCACACCTAGAATACTGCATCCAGTTTTGATTACCACACTACAAAAAAAGATGTTGAGACACTAGAAAGAGTGCAGAGAAGAGCAACAAAGATGATTAGGGAACTGGAAGCTAAAACATATGAAGAACAGTTACAGGAACTGGGCATGGCTAGTCTAGTGAAGGGAAGGAACAGGGGAGACATGATAGCAGTGTTCCAGTATTTGAGGGGCTGCCACAGAGAGGAGAGGGGGGGTGTCAACCTGTTTTCCAAAGTACCTGAAGGCCAGACAAGGAATAATGGGTGGAAACTGATCAAGGAGCGATTCAACCTAGAAATAAGGAGAAATTTCCTGACAGTGAGAACAATCAACCAATGGAACAGAAGTTGCCTTCAGAAGTTGTGGGAGTTTCGTCACTGGAAGCTTTCAAGAAGAGACTGGACTGCCATCTGTCAGAAATGATGTAAGGTTTCCTGCTTGGGCGGGGTGTGTGTGGACTTACAATGTCCCTTCCAACTCTGTTCTTCTGTTATGCTCTCAATATTCAATTCTATTCTTGTTCCAAACGGCTCTCTTTGATTCCACCACATTTGCCAATGTTCTTTGTCAAACTCAATTCCCATAGTGGTGTGGAGGTTTTTTTGGGTGGAATACAGGTAGTCCTCAATTTATATCAATTCATTTAGTGACCGTTCAGTTACAACAGCACTGAAAAAAGTGATGTATGACTGTTTTTCACACTTACAACCGTTGCAGTGTCCCCATAGTCAACATTTGGATGCTTGGCAATTGATCATAGTTCAAAATTCAGACACTTGGCAACTGACTCAT